GCTGACAGGGACTGTGGAAAGCCTCCTATAGACCGTTCCATCGCTTATCACCCGGGCGAAAAATGCCGAATCGCTGTCGCATGCACTGCGTCTGATATACCGCACAACATTGCGACAGCGCATGCTCAGAAGGCGTTCCACGGCCCAGCAGACGAAAATGGTTGTGCGCGGAAGGTGATTCTTGCAAAGGTCTATATACACCCTTGCATTGCTTATGACTAAAGCTATATACGGTATTTGGAACGCGTCTTCGACTGGTGTGTTTAGCGTCCTATCCCTGCCATACATCAAAAGTGTCCCGAAGTGGTGACAAACGACGTCACAAAAAGCCGGAGTCTTGTGCTGGCGAACGACGCGATTCCGGCAGCTGGGGGCAGAAGTTGGGAAAAATAATAAAAAGCACAAGAGAAGGCGAGTGTCGCTGTCGTCGCAGCGTCCCAACTCATGGCTGCCGAAAGTTCCGTGAACTGTCAAGCAGGAGAGCGACCTGCCGCAGAACAGGCGTCTGCCACATTCACCACCACTGCCGTGACGCCGCCAGGATCGCTGTCGGCGCCAGCGTGACACTTTTATGACATCATAGGGCGGAAATCGAGGAATCACTTTTGTGGACATGGTAAACGCACCAGTGGGAGTCGCGTTTTAGACACAGTGGTTTCAAGCGAACATTCGTGGCGTTTGATCCCGCGCAGAAAAATAGCTATACTGTAAAAGGCTTGGAACGCGTTTCACATGCCCCCACTAGACAAAGATGGCGTCGCGGGGCTATTGCTGGACTGATCTAAAACGCCGAGTCACTGCGCCGTGGACGCACGCGCGGTGTGCGCACTACCGCGCATGCTCAGAATGCCTTGCACAATTCAGTATGGACAAGGACGGCAGTGCGCAGAGGGCGATTATTCCAATGTTTTTTTTATATATATTTTTTTTTTATGTGAAGATTAGAAGAGAGCCTCCCGAGAGTGTATGATGCAACATAGACACTCGAAAACAATACTCCGCTCGATGAACAATTTCTAAGAGCCTCAGGCTACACTTGGTCTCAACACACCCGAACACTGCACACTGAAGGCCGGTTTTTACATGCAGCGAAGCGCTGATGTAGCGCTCCTCACGTGTCGTCAGCTACTTATTGTCAGCCAGGAGAAACGGTTTTGACGGTGCGATACGAAGCTGGTGAACGCTGCCGTCAGCACGCGCTAAGCGCGAGGTTAGCGCTATGCTTGTAGCGCGCCGCTGCATGTGTGGACAGGCCTTGACTAAAGCCGCGCTCACAGTGCTACTACAGCATAAAAAAGACAGGTCACAAACTCTGTCTGAGAGTGTTTCTTTCTTGTATGACGGTCACGTTGGTCATTTAAAAACTGCCTGCAGGCATTTTCGAATCCTAGACATATAGGGTATGCACATAAACATGCGCGTGATTGGTAGAGCCGACTGGTAGCACACGCTTGACGGAACTACGAACACCATGACGTTGTACTACTGGCAACGTTACTAGAACCCCTCAGTTGGGAAACTGCCATAGAGTCTGTTTTAAAAAAGTGGCTCCGATCGGTACTCGAGAACCGAGCTAATGGCGATCGCAACACCGCCATTTCTCCCCCAGTGGCCACTCCGGGAACTGCACGGCTGCACGTCGAGTCAGGCAAGGGCCGGTGCCGTCATCTCTCAGGGCCATCTCGTAGTAACTATGTGAAGCAACTTCCATGTTTCAACTCGCCGCTAAAGGGAGGCACTGTCATCGTAATTAGCTCGGTTTCGATGGACGCCAGTTGCCCAAGTTTTATGGGTGAGTTTCCCAACTGAGGATTTTAGTAACATTGACTACTGGTGACGCTTGGATTGACTTTGTAGGCTCGAAACGTTGGCTGACCTTCGACGTATTCTGAAGCGAAGTATTACAGAAATAAATATTGTATTTAAAAAAAGCAAAAAGAGTTGTAATAGCGCATTTTTTATTATTATTTTCTGCGTAGTTTTTCGTGCAGGAAGTTCGCGCATATACCTGCTCCGAAAACGTCGCATGGAAAAGGCGTTTCTGGAAAGGGCTTATAATTAGTTCCGTGTAAAGCATCCGTAAAACAAGCGATGACACCAGAAAACCAAGCTACAATTAGTAAGCGGCGGACCGCGTTCACGCCATAATTGATATCAATGCATGCCCTGTCGCAATGTTTCTCATGAAAACAAATGTTCCGAGAAGAGAACTTAGTCAGGAGGGTTGCTTTTTTGAATTCATGTTTTAGTCCCCTTTGCGTGGGAACGCACTTAACGTTTTGGCAAGCGTCCATTAATATTTAATCACTAAACAGCCACCGCACCGGTCTCCCGGAATTATTAGAAGGCCACTGACTCCAAAACACCAAAGTTTCAGGTAAATAGAAGCGAAGCGTTCGTTTAACTCGATCTAATCTCAATGTATATAATCTCAAATTCAAAAGGAAACATTATTTGATTGTACTTCACAAAAATATACATTTTTAGGGGACATCTTTCTGTGTCATTTCTAAAGGGAGCAAAAGTGCGCATGAGCAGCTTTAGACGGCCCTTAGTTCAACCTTACCAACTTAAGAGGTATTAAAAAAAAAACGAGTTAGAGGTGATTTTTAGAGTATTTTTATACCGTAAGTCTAAAAATCACGTTCGTTTTTTCTGAAGATGTAACTAAACGCGAGAAAGCACGAAGCACCTCTGACCAGTAGTTAAAGGGATAGTGCACTGAAATTTGGATTAAAAAAAAAAAAACAATGCAGGAGGTGTAGGCGGGACGCTACAATCCCTACAACACTGCTCCTAAGGCGATATCTCGAATGGACGGCCGCATTTTCGGAAAAAGTGGTCGAGATTGAACCAGGCCGACGAGGCGCGTGACGTCAAGATATCTCGTTTCCTCCTCTCTCGCTTCGCTCCCTCAAGGCGGCTAGGTGGAAAAGACGCGAGGCCGTTGCCTCTCCTCGGAGAAACAAGACATATACATATCTGTCAAATACGCCTTCTTTTTTTTTTAAAATACCGTCATCCGTTCGGGATATCGCTGTATGAGTGATGTTTTGGTGTTTGTAGCGTCCCGTTGCACGCTTTTGCCACGTGTTTTCTGGAATCAAGATTTCGGTTCAGCATCTCTTTAAAGGAATGGTGAACCGAAATTTGGATTTCCAAAAAGCAATGCGGGAGGTGTAGGTGCGACGCTATAATTCCTACAACAGTACTCGTAAGGCGATATCTTGAATGTACGACAATAATTTTGGAAAAAGAGATCGAGATTGAACCGGGCCGACGTGCCGCGTGACTCAAGATATCTCGTTTCTTCCTCTCTTCGCTTCGCTCCCTCAAGGTGACGAGGCGGAGAAGATTCGAGGCCGTTCCTTCTCCTTCTCGGAGAAACAAGACGTATAAACATATGTCAAATGCGCCTCCTTTAAAAAAAAAAAAAAAAAAAGGAAACGGCAATTCGTTTGAAATATTGCTATATGAGTGATGTTTTAGGTGTGTCTAGCATCCCGTTGCACGCATTTGTCGCATGTTTTGTGGAATTCAGATTTAGGTTCAGAATTTCTTTATGTCATACTAAGATTGTTTGGCTGCGCGCGCCATTGTGTGGAGAGCGCGTACCATTACAAGCTTGTCAGGTAAATTTTCTCGCACTGTCACCAGTCCTGAAGTCTTTTTTTGTTTTGTTTTTACCATTATGAAATTGCGAGAGCGGCCGTGCATAGTTTTGATACGCGCTGAAGATGCGCGGAAGCAGAGATTCCGAAAACACCCGATATGGCGTCAGGCTTCCGGAAGGAGTGGCTTCAGCAATACTTCGAAAAAAATATTTTCCACAGATCGTGTGCGCAACTTGAACAAGAACCTCGATATTCGTGATCCTGGAGGCCAAATCAAGACGACCTGGAGTGTTTTTCCTCAAATATAGTACCGCTTCAGTTCTCTTTTAAGCACTAACTCCCGTCTCTCTTACTGCAGAAAGTTGTCTCCGGGTTTATGTGAAGGCCATTAAATTTCTGAATGCTTAAGAAATATATGAGGCAGTTGACTTAGTTGGATGAAACGCTGTCGTGAGCAATGCTTTCTCTGCAGGAATAATGTTTCAATTATTACACTTATTTAACATCACGAACTCTATAGATAGAAGAAGCCAAAAGCATGCGATAACCAAACATTAGCAGCATGGATTGCTCTCTGGCATAAGCTCACGAAAGAATGAAATAATAGAAATGTTTAAGAAATAATAAGAGCATTAAAATTCTAGCAAACTTTAGAAATGAACTATCGTCCTCATTACTAGACCAACGGGCAGTGCCCACAATGCACGTTTTTATTTTAAACAAAATAAATAAAAAATACATGTATATATAGTACAAGCAATAATCGGTAAGACTCACAGGGTCGCATTTCGGAGAAACGATTTTAAAACGATCATGTAAAATAAGGTCATTATCTGAACTGCTGTGTAATGTGAAGAGAGAGATTTCGTTCGTTTCGAAAACAGTAGGACATAAACGAGTTGGGGAGTTGCAACGACAGCGACAGCAACGACCCAGTGCTCGGATTCTTGCTTTCTTCCGCCTGAGAACCCTCGGGTGGTCATTCTTTCTTTCCTAACGCGGGTGTCGACACATAAATGAACTGGGCACCATTCCTGTAGCCGCTTAGTCCAAAGATGATAATACTCGAGCTCGGACTCCAAAGGCGAGTTTGTTTTCGTGGACCGAATTTCAGCAGTATGCACCGCGCGACATGGTCATTTTCGTTTTCAGGACTCTTGTCAAAGAGAACTCCTTGCATTGTATAGGGAGAATTTGGTCGCAAAGCATATATCCATGGACAAAGCAGAAATGGATCGCTTACGCAGCCTTCAAAACCGCGATCACACTGCCAATACAAAATACAAAAGAAAGCCTGCAGTCACGTTGGCGACACAAAACCTGTCTGCAGGTAAGTTTGAAGCACACGTATGTATGAAGAAAACATACTTCGAACAGCCTTGAGTTATGTCCGCAAACAACTTCGTCTTGTGTCTGCGGCGAACACTGTGCCTTTTTATAATAAATGAGCAGTGTCATGGTGGCTTAATAAGCCTCTTTAGAATTTATATTTCGGTATGTACATTTATTTTAGTGTAACGATACTCTGAGTTTAGCGAAGGCAGGCGGCGATTTGGCTGCGAGGAAACAGTGGAAACATATAGTTCGAACTGAGTTCTTTAGACAGGCTGTGACAAGTAAAGGGGATGTAATGACCATACACTGATTATTATCTCTCAGTTTAGGAGACATACCATTTTGTACTGGAGGCAAGAAAGAAAAAAATAAATATGCAATTCCAGGCAGATCAGCCAGAATAGTTCCGTTCCGGCAACAAATGGGACGCGGTAGTGTTCGTTAAAATTGAAACCGACAGGAATGGGGTACTAATTCATGATGCCTAAATCTGCAAGCGAAAGATCGATGATAGAGCAAATGTACCTTTCAATTCATGGGCTCAATTTCTTGCCTTGGGATTACAAAAACCGCGAAGAAATCCACAAAAATCAAGAGGATTAACGCAAAACGTCACTACGCCTATTTTCATAGTCCAACGTATAAAAGCACAGGTTAGAGCCGCGTGTTGACTCCAACAGAAGATGTAAGGTCGAACACACCGTCTTTCGAAGAGGTCCCCGAACAGCGAAATAACCTCATAAGAGTTCTACGTATATCCGAGCTACACAGGCAGTACACGTAGAAGTTTACGGCAAAGTTGGCCATTTCCATGTCATTTGCGACGGCCCTGAAGACCTGGAAACCATAGTTGCTCTCCAGGTCGTCGTTGTTGAGCACCCTTAAGATGGCGGCAGGAGTCATGCACACGCAAAACATGACCACGATAGCAACAAGCAAGACCACGAGACGCCTTTCCCGCGTCAGCCTTTTGGTATCATAAACAGTGCCATTCGCGAGCTGCTTGCGTTTGCGAATGAGATTACGAAAGGTGAGGATGATGATGGTGTTCAGCACGATTACCACGAAGACAGGTCCTATTCGTACCAGGGCCTCCCTGACCATGACATAGACCTTGAAGGCCGGATGCCGCGACACGGACAAATTCTCAAACGACACGTACATCGTCTGGTTTACCAAGTTATCCCAGACCAGGACTGGACGCTTCCTGAAAATCATCGGAACGTATAGAAAAACAGCCGCCACATACACGAGAGGAATGACCACTCTGGCACGCCTGGCGTTGTGAAACTCCCTGTAGCGCGTAGGTCTGCAGACGGCGCAGTAGCGGTCGACAGTGACTGCCACCACAAGGAAGATGCTGCTGGCCATGAGTGCGTTGACCAGCGGCAGGTCAGCGTGGGCGTAGTACAATGCTGCCGCGTAGTTTCGGGGCGGGGAGTCGTGCAGGCGCATCATCGAGAACACGGCGACCGAGAGCACCAGAAGGTCCGACGTGGCCAGCCATGTGAGGTATGTGAAGGTGACGCCTCTGAGGTTGGATCGCGTGAGCACCATCAGGTTGATAAGGTTCCCCATGATCCCCAGGGCGATGATGGCGAGGGACACGTTCCCGTAGGCGATTAACTTGAGCTTCGCCGTACTCGGGTCGACGGTCGAGAGGACCTGCGGTGTGATGGCATCTTCTGTTGGTGACGTGTCATTGAAGAAGACGGCAGGGTTGTCATCCTGAGGAATCATTCTGATCTGCACAAACGTGGACGGTGAAGTAAAAGTTAGCCCTTATTGCCTTATTCGAGCCTATTCGCTCTTCTAAGACAAACGCCAAACACTTCTGGAGGACATGAACAAGACACCTCGTTGGCGTCATTTTTTCATTCCTTAGCAAAGCCAGCTGGCTATAAACAAAAATGTGTTTGCAAACGAGCGGCACACTGAGCGACATTGTTGGCGTGAACTTATGACATTGGCGCTCCTTTGAATTTTACTTGAAAAAACGGGCAGTGTATTTTGCCGCTTAATGCCCCAAGGGAGCCCTACCACCAAATTCGTAGTTTTGACGACAGATTTTTGATTCTATGAGAAAGCTAAGAGAACGAAAAAAATGCCAATTGCTTGTTCGCGCTAACAGTGTCGCGCTTTGCGTACGAAAGCGATTTCCAGGGTCGTCAAAAAGTAATTTTCGTGACGTTCAGTAATACAAAATTGAAATGTGTTAACCATTCACTAAGGAATAGTGAATAAAACTCAAAAACTGATATAAGAAGTGCAACAAAACATCCTCCATAAGTGATTTGCGATGTCCCAGATGCTTGCAATTTATAACTTGTGCTTTGTTGTTCCTAACCTGCGCTTTTTCGATATATACTCTTCGTTCTCTATCGTGAAAGAAAACAATGGAAAAATTCTTCCATCTAACTGACAACCATTCACGTCACGGTATCAGGAGGGTGACAACTCATAAAGGTGATTAGTAAAATTGTCACGAAAATTAAACCGATTTCAAAAGAAATGTCAATGACACTAGTATTTATGTTATCCGAATATGTTGTCTTATGATAGTTACTTTACCTTAAAAGCAGCACGAACGTTTATGAAATGAACTCTAAGGAGTAACCATTTTAGCTCCGTGGTGGTCAAGATAGAGGGTATCGCTTCAGTGTATAGTGAAACACATTTTTCTTTATTGCCCTTTTATGGCCTCCCACGCATTGTATTTCCATCTGGATAAAAGCCATAAATTAAAGAAAGTAGCACTTGCTTTGGTCATCAAAAACTGGAGATCTCCTATAGCTCCAACACTGCAAGGCGACCTTGAAGACAGTAACTTATCGCAACTCTCGCGTTACGGCGCTGAACTATTTAATGAAAGCAGAGCATTTTCACCAAGAAAAAGAAAGAAAGCTAAAAATACAATAGATGAAAAAGTTAGCCAAACCACGTTATTGGCTTTCTTCCAGGGGCTTCCAGAGTTACCGGAGAGCGAACGCCACAAAAGAGCCCAGCTTCTGCCTTTTTTCTTGTCCACTGTTTCTTGGAGTGCGGTTACCGCCTCGGCGAGGCCCCGAGGACGGGTCATGGTGCCATCTCCCGGGAAATTGGATTCTCACCGCAACGCGCGCCATAAAGCTCGACTGAATCTGCTATGCGTGCTTCTGGCTTAGAGCACGTAACCCCCTAGGCGCCCTCCTGCGGGGTATAATTCTCGCTAAAGGGTTCCGTGCACCCGCGACTTCCAAAGTTCTTATGCGAATCCCGGAATAAGACTGCCGTAAGCTGGTTTACCGACTGATACTAATAAAAACACAGTTAAAAAAGCCGCGTATTTCTGATTTATTCACGTACGGGATTTTACAGGTCACCTTAGGCGTAATATAACTGTTTGTAACCAATGAATACACTCATACTACGCAATAAAGAACACGGGTTGATTGGCCGATTGTGAGGTTTACAGATACGTAGGGTTTTCGTGTTTTGAAGGTAATGCTAGGTCGACTGCGTTAGTTTTCACACAGAAGATAGAAGAACCTAATGTCGCTTTCGTTATATTAGGTTGATTTATTATATAAATGCTCGCTGAATATTACTTATTTTATGTTTGTTAGCTGTGGTCGCCTCGTTTGGCGGTGCTAATGGTTGTAGAATGAACTTTACGTCGCAAGTTAATCAAAACAATGCCGGGGTCTTGTGCGCACACACTGTGTAAATACGAATGCCTTTCGCCCGTTTCTGCTTTTTTGTTTCTAGTTTTATTTCGGTGATTTGCATACTGAACGGCTTTGTTTGTCCCTTTTACCGAATACATTCACAAGCCACCGGGAGCTCCCTTTAATGTTATTTTTTTCTTCATGCTTACGTTTCTTTGAATTATCGTAACCCGAGGTTTATTTAAGAACTATTCGCCTTCTGAGTCAAAATTGCTTTAAGTTCGAGTTTAATAAAGGCTTAACTCACAGGTGTCGAACAAAATACCTCGGATGCGAACGCTAAATATAATATAAAGGTAATCGGCTTAAATGGGATCCTTGTTTTTCTAAAAGAAATTTCTTCTTGTTAACTTAGGAGGGTTATTTATTCGAAGTCGTATAATTCCCGCACGACTTCGGTCGCGTTGATTAATTGTTTGATATCAGCAGTTTGTAAATCATACCTATAAGTAAGAGAAACTCGAGGAACAATGCAGTCTTGTTCCGACTGTTTTGTTTCGCGGAAACAAGCAGTTATGTAACAGAAAATGTTACCGCTTCGGTGCATTTGTCACTCAAAATTTAAAAACAAAAATACCAGATGTGAACATTTTTCAAGAGGTCTACAACTTGTCGTAAGTCAGGCTCAAAGCAACCAAATCGTAACAGAGAAGTTTATTCTAAAACATTCGTTTAGAAATTGTTTTACTTACTGCACCTAAAACCTTTCACGTGTCTTTTGTAAACATTAGGTTGCGTTTTAGTAGTTCAGGGTTCTCCTACATTAACTGAAGCCAAGATGCAAAAGCAGAGGCTTTTCTTTGGCATAAATTAAACGATAAAAACAATAAATACACGAGTAAAAACACAAACAAGGCCGTGATCTAGCGCTTTTCGAAACGCGTGATTAATGATATGACGATGCACAGAAAAGTAATCGGAGTAAACAAGATTAAACACATTCAGTTCCATCTGAGAGTCAAGACCGGTCGTCCTTCCTCCTCGAGGAACCGCTACATTGCTGACCCGAACGGAATTTACACACGCAAGCGCCACAACCCGTTCGTAGCTTTTGCAGCGGTTGTAATTAGTGGAAAACAGTCATAGAGTATAGGCGAAAGCGCCATATACATACACGGCGAAACGTCGGACGTGTAATGCGACGCATCGGAAAGATGGCCGAATCAGTCAAGGTGCCTTTTAATTATGGTGTCTGTGACGTCGTGATTAGTCGACGCCCGGTCGGATTATGCCATTCTTTCAATTAGTCGTGCGACCAAGCGCATATGCTCGAGCATATGCCTCATCTTTTACTGTTGTTCAATACGTGTCGCATTTGCGGCTGGGAGTTTTCCACTGACCCGTCCTACTCCGTTCCTTCTCCGTATTGCGAACAGCGACACGTACGGAACGTCACTAAGTTCGTCATTTACCTATGCGTGTGTTTTGGCGCGCTAATTCAACCATGCGCGGGTAATGAGACAAAGTATAAAGTAGAGTGCGTTCTTAAATAGCCTACCTTCCTTTTTTCATGCAAGGAAGTCTCTTCCCCCCCCCCCTCCTCCCTTTTCTATCCAGAAAAAAAATAAATAAAGGGTGTCATTTATTTTTAAAATTAAGCAAGAAGAAGTTGAGAGGCAAACAGAGAGGAAATGTCTGCTCTCTCCCGCATAACTGAAATTATTGAAAATTGCGCATTGCGTCGTATGTCGAAACTCCGAGAGTATAGATACCTTAGCTTGGATTTTGCGCGAATAACGCCTGAATGTGCCGTATATTGCACCTCACCTTCATTTCATCGCGGTCAAAAGTGCGCTTATTTTCTTTTTTCTCGATGATTGCGCATAGATTGCTCAGAGATCCGAGAAACGCCAATAATCTACTTTTTCTTCTCTTTTTTTTTTTTTTTTTTTTCTGTGAGCCGATGAACGTGAAGTCCTCTGCTTCGAAAAGAATGTATTGCATCAGATTCGAAGCAATCTTCCTCACAGCTCTTCAGGGTGAAAATGGTCCTCCCTTATTACTTATCTTGTGTGTGTGTGTGTGTGTGTGTGTGTGTGTGTGTGTGTGTGTGTGTGTGTGCGCGCGCGCGCGTGTGTGTGTGTGCGCGCGCGTGTGTGTGTTTGTGTGCGTGTGTGTGTGTGTATGTGTGTTGCTAAATTGGTACCTGCTCTTACTTTTTTTTTAAAGCAGAGGTAAAGCAGGAGACGTAACACATAAAACTCTCTTGCTTCAGTGAAAAAGACGGATAAAGAAATAAGATGGAAGATGAGCGAGAAAATGATCACGAGGGGACGAAAAACGGATGACCGACAACTCAAGTGGCAGTATTGATTCGAAAAAATGCGGGTTCAGTCTCACAATAAATCGGTGCTGAACCATTTCTTCAGGGCATCCGCTCAGCATCAATTGAAATCATATATGTTTATGTTCATAAATGTCTTCACGAGCAGCTTATGTAATTCATGTTGGATAAAGAAAACCATCGGCTCAAATAATTCCGAGTTGGTGGTGCTTATTATATGCGCTGACTACGGGGGGGGGGGGGGGGGGGGGGAGGGGAGGGGCGACATTTTTTGTTACACACGCAGGCACATTGATAATTTAGACCCATGTTGTAGTCAAATAAACTATCTCCAAGCTCCGGTCTGAAAACACGCTTTTCGTGTGTGGATTGTCAAATTATGAGGCGCTGGAGAAAATTAGCCTTCTGCGTTAAGTCCTTATATCGAACTCTTCCTGTTCGCGTTCCGTCCATTGAAAAACATGCGGTAAGGGCCTCATCACGCACCTCGTATCGCTGCGCCGCAGTCTTCTTCCGCAGCATAAAGGCCGTCTACTTTCATCGTGGTCACCAGGGCAGCGAACGCCCATATTCCGAACGCCGCCTGCTAGCCAACATTTAACAGCTTTGTAATGAGCAGCCGTAGACTGTCGCTGCAAAGCGGCGTGAACGCAGGCGGAGGCGGGGCGCGGTGGGGGGGGGGGGGGGGGGGGGGGGGGTTAACACGGTTTTTAGTGATACACGTGCGGACCTAAAAATTCCATCGGCGGTCGTTC